CCACAGCATTTTGATCTTAATATCTTTGAAAGAAGAAAAATTTTAACATTGTGATGCATCAATTCCTAATTTAGCTGATAATTTTCATTACAATTTCATGCTAGCCAATAAATACTTACTCTTTGTTTTGTTTAATATCCCTTATTCAAAGGAGTGGAAATTGAGTCCTAATAAGGCATATATTAGAGAAAAAGAAAGATATATAAAATAGGATAGAAGCAGTGATGGATATAATTAATAAATTGAAAAATAAGAGAAAAAACAGGAAAAGTAGATAATAATACCATTGCCAATAAATAAATAAAATTAATAGAAAAAAATGCAGCCAAGCAATGGATCAACCACCATATAAGGCGCGCGAATGAATCAGTGTAACGGAATAGGATAAAATCAAAAAGAAGTACGAAATAAGTCATATGAGAAAGATAGAAAGAAGCGATGATATTCAACGGACGAACAGATGCAAAGAAAAGAAGAGATATTTGCGAGAATCTCTTAAAAGAGGTAACTGGAGTGTTCATCATCGTAATAAAGAGAAAATAATGATTTCGCAGTCAACTCTTTCGGGATATAATTGAGGTGAACCAACCTGAACCGATACCCCCGGCGGCGTTATTATCCACTGTCTGAGAAGGACCAGCGGAGACCATGGAACCAGCACTGGCTAAATGATAGATGGAAAAGGGGCCCTGTGGTGCAATAGATGGCAAAAAAAGACAGCCGAAACCCTCTGGAGCCATGTCTAGCTCTACAAAGGCGGGCGGAATTAGATGCTGATGCAACGCCTGCTGTCCAAATGGCGCTGAAGGAGGCGAACCAGCAACAGGAGTGGGCCCTGATAGGCCATCCAGACCAGTAGAAGCATTTGTAATTCCTGACTGCTTTTGTGCAGGACCCAACGTCAGAGACCGCATCACAGGACGCGCCGATCCATTAGATGCGATTGGAGAGAACCCAGACGAAGAAGAATTGGTGTACGCTAATGAGAGTATCGCAGCAGTTGGTGCGATACTCGCCAGAGCGTAGGTGATCATGGCATGCAGGCTCTTGAGCTGGGCAACTGGAAGAGGACCTCCATGGCGCTGACGGGCAGCTGCAATGATAAATTCGGCTTCAGTGCGCAGATCACATTTGTTAGGGTCACGCAGTTCAGGAGGAAGAGAGGCAGGAGTCATTAGAGCCAGAGAGCGGCAGCAGAACGGATCGGAGAGACGAAGGAAGTCTCTATAATTGGGTTTTCAATAGGAAAAATATAATTGAAGGAAGTAAGGTTAAAGATAAATATGTAAATGAGAGACAAGACCTATAAGAAGAGCTTGTGATCACCTGAATTAGTTAGTCAAATATAGCCAAAATTGGCATACAAACATAGTGATTAGCTAAAACGACCCTAGATTAGTCCTTGCAGAATTGTTTAAATTACATTTCCACACAAAATATAGGCAAATTAAATGTTTACGTTCAAAATTCAAGCAAATAGCATAGACTTAAAGGAGCAAAGGATAGATATGAAAATATGTAAGAACTTTGAAACAAAAGTTTGAAGCAAGAGATTTTCATTATTTCAAATGGAAAAAGATTATTTGAAGTCGATCAAAAATGGAAAGCGTTCGCGTGTCTGTTTAAATATAAGTTTGATAATTTACAAAAATTAGAACATGCAATTTTATAAAAGAGAATAGTATTAAAATATGATTGTGCATGAAACAGGTAAGGGCTTAGAGGCGATGCAGGCGTGAAAGCTAATCAGTTATACATCTGGAAAGGATAAGTTGGTAAGAAAACCAGTTTGAAATATATTGAAGATGTAGTGTAAGAAAGATACAAAAAGAGCAGTCTTCTGAACCAGTGAGATCTCAGAAATTTGCTCTCGGAGTCCGATACGGATAGTTAATTTGCAAATAATAGAGATTAACAGTCAAAAATATAACCCTCAGAAAATAGGTGAAAAATGAAAAAAGCTTCAAATGAGTGAACTGGACTATCCAACATGAGTACCTCGTAATGACAATAAAAACATGGAAAGAGAGAAAATGATCAAGAAATGAGGGTAGCATCACAACAAAGGATTCTTTGAACAGTTCTTCATCTCCAAATATTCTAATTATATCTGCAAGTAAATACCTAGTAATAAAAAAAATGAGACGAAAATCTATCCATGACGAAGAAGCTATTATAACTTAATTCAGAGAGTTAAGTGAAAAGGAGTGCAATCGAGCATAAAATCTAAAAAGTTATTGCAAGCTGGCCTATTAGTATTCATTACGAAAAATATAAATGAAATTTAATAGATGTTGCTTGACCTTGTTTTCGCAAGTTGATCATAATAACAGGAAGACCTAGAGGAACGCACTTTATTCCAGAGTCCATATTATGCATGATAAATTCCATAGTTGAACCGCGAACTTGATAAATTCCCAGACGTTCGCTGGCATCAGCGGTGAGCCTTGCTATTATTATCACGGCACAACTTGTAGAGGATACAAGTACAGTCAATACTCTGACCGATTTTCTGCAAAACGGTTAAGCTGTCATTTCTCTTTCTGTCAAAGGATCGACGTTACTTGTCCCTTTTGACCAGTTGTAACAATGACAAGATTCACTGCCGATGCCGAGTACGTTGCTGGCGTTACGTCTGTGAGTGTACCAAGTCCACGGTCCAACTGGAAATTATCATACATACTATGGACTCCGAACAAGGTGCGTTTCTTCAGGTCTTACTGCCAATATGACCAAGTTGCGAAAACAAGGTCAACATTCTATCCAACGAAAGGAGATCACGACCATACTAAAAGTAACACTATCATGGTCTGCATAGCTACGATTAAAAATGATGTTTGATGTAAAGATTCTGTTTCGTTCTATCAATTAATGTTGGGCATATTCCATCTAAACGAAGGCTAATTTGTGGATACAAAGCTTCCATAGCACTGAATTTAGAGCCTTTTTTCTCACCTATATGTAAATCCTATTCAACTTCTCGCACTCAGTCTATTCTATGCAAGCTACTGGTCTGCATCTAATCATAAATTCGGCAATGAAGTCTGCTTTAATACTTTCCTATTTTAATACTAGTTAAAAGAACTTATTTTTGATGACACCTCAGTGTAGGTACTCATTTGCGTCTTATTCTTTTTGCTTCGCTAATTTACTCAGTAGTTAGGACCGAGATTTTCGTAAACCTGGCGTGGTCTTTATTTATTCACACTCTGTATTAATTACAAAAAAATGGTCGCATCTCGTTTTGAAAAGTAGTCACTATGGTTTGCTACCCATAGCTATAGTTAATTAGAATTGTAGTTATGCTAATTTCCAGCGTCATTTAGTAGACTTGGTACATTCTCAGACGTTGCTCCGCCATAGTCAGTGATCCTTGCCACGCCTAAACTAGCAGAAGCACAAACAAAATCAAATTTTTCCAACTTTCTGCCAAGCGTTTGTGGTATCCCTTTGCCTCCTGCTCTGGAAGATCAACTGATCCAATCTCCTGGTAGCTCCTTTGTCATGATTCCTAAAGTGTTCATCCAGGACTAATATATAGGTGCATCTTCCTTATTTTCTGGTCGATTAGAGTTACTTTAGTCCACTCATAGTATGAATCAGCTTCCGGGAACTTTTCTCATACCAAGATCGCCATCGTAGAAGCAAATGCTTTGTTTGTATACATAAGTTATAAATAAAAAATTACCAATAGTTAACTCCCATCTAATCAAATGGTTTTGAGACTATTATAAAATTCGTGAAAACTCATGAGCTTCGGGCATATGAATCTTGCTACCTTATTTTATGCTACATGCTTTTGTTGACTATCATCCTTAGGAATGTCCTTACTTTGTTCAAAAGCGGTAATTTCTAGTCTGCAGGTGATCTTGCATCGTTCATTATGGGGAAATTATTGTTTACCAATCAATTCCTCCATTTATACTCATTTCTTTTAGCATGTCGGTTGGTATTCTATTGATATTAATTATTGGGCACTTCATTAGTCAGATAGGTGCTTCAATTCCCATTTATATATATTTTATTGTAACCTACTTCATCTGAAGAACAAATTAGTGTTTTCTTCGTATTGCTGTATATACACTCGTTATTCTACTCCACGTTTTTGGCCAAAATGTGTCAATATTCTTAAGAGAATTCACATCTCTTTTAGTTTTGTCTTACCTGAAAATTTTTCCGAAGTATTTAAGATTACCACAAAAATTTCCTTAAAATTGTATACATTAAGGATGGAAAAATTTAATACTTGCTTAAAAATAACTGTGGTTTTAGAAGCAAGGGGGGTCGAAGATAATTTATATCCATCGTTATTTTAAGTAGTAGGTGCTGTCGATTTGGAAACTATAGGGTTTTGAGGATTAGCTTGATCTTGAACTTTCTTTTACTACCATTTATATATAATTTTTAACGTGCATCTTAGCTATTAAACTCCCCATCCTTCGCGACTTTCTGTTGGTCCTACTTAGGAATTTTTTGAATCTTATAGGGCAAGAATTCTGGCTAGATCCAGCCTGAATTTAGGCTTACTACCTATTAACTTAAATAGTTTATCCATTTCAGAATCATAAGCTTTCCCTAATTTCTGGACGGAGGTAGGATAAATAATTTCATTAACTATGTCCGAATGGTAATGCCTAATGAAGTTGTACAATCCAAGAGTGATAACATCCAGCTTTCACTCTAATTATATTCTATTTTCTCTATATAGAGGTGGTTTGATCTTATTTTTGCAACTTAATATTTTTGTCAGGATGATCTGTATGAAGGATTCTACTGCAATTGCCGTTCTGATAGTTTTCAGCATTAAAGGATGGACTTTGGTACATTGAAATCTCGAGGCCTTAAGTAGTTGCGGCTAGTTGGCAAGAATGTAGAAGCTCAATAGCGCTGCCAACTAAGATGACAGCGAAATGACTCTAAGTAAACCGAATACACATAAAATATCGAGAAAACTAGTAACGAGGATGCGGAGAAAAATGCGTTCCTTGGGGTAGAAATACGAACATGTTTTGAAAATGTTGTCAGACCAATTCTTTAGGGAAATTGAAGTAAAATAGAAAAATAGCCTATAGAAGGGTGCCGAAGATACTAGATTAATCCCAGCTATTTCAGGCAAGCACACAGGTGGTGTATTAAAAGAGGTGATTCACGCTAGAAGTGCTTGCATGTCGGGAAGAGTAAATGTTAACAATAAAATGGTGAATGTGAGCCATCAAAGAAAAAAGTGCTGGCTACTCTTGAAGTGCCATAAGAGGAAAGAGAGGAAAAAAGGATAAGAGGGGGAAAAGGAAAAGAGTAAACAAGAAGGATGGGGAATAGAGAAGCAAAGTGAGTGGAGCTGGGATATAGGAGGACTACGTAGGGACTGCGTAAAAAAGGCTGCAATATATACGCGGCCTAAATAAAATGACTCATGCGAAAATATCAAGTAAAAACGAACATATTTTACACAATCAAGATGTACAAACAAGCATTAATGGGGATCAGAATAATAAACATTAAATTTCATCACGTCAAGCGGTTATCCTTCCATCAGACAAATGGTCTTAATAAGTCAAGGGGACAGAATCGGTCTATATTCCTGAAGGCGGCTACAGATTTGGCCTGTATAGAGACTATATAACCACAAAGCTTGGGTCCCTTTCACAATTTACTTACCAAATCTTTCAGATAATCGCAAGTCCCTTAATCAAGCTATGAAATATAAATATTAGTGTCGCTACTGGAGTCGGATCATCATAATTACAGCACATCCTAGAATCACTTACAGTAAAACTTCTTGAAATTCTAATAGAAATCAGAAGCATCATCTTTTTAATGGTTTTATCTGAGGGATAGAGTCTGATTTTGGCAATAAATATTATTGAAATTTAGAGGAATTTCCTGAGATAATATTGCTGTAGAAACTTCAATTTCGTAGAGCGTATAAATTAGAAATTCATCATGACCGTTCATACTAAATGGAGATCTCCACAATAATACTAAATTGTAGGTATGCAGAAAAACTGAAAAAAAAGATGCTAGAGAGCCTTTCTTTTATTTTATAAATTGGCATCACCGGAAGCTGTAGGATAATTGCCTTGGAGCAGTGACTGTAGATTTAAGCGGATAAGTCTTCGGCATACTGCCCTGCTGGGCTTTCGAACGCTATAAAGATATGAAGACAAGGATGGTG